TTTTTTTTTTTTTTTTTGGTTTTTTGAGACAGGGTCTCACTATGTTGTTGAGACTGACCTGGAACTCAGTATGTAGCCCAGGCTGGTCTTGAACTCACAGCGATCCTCCTGTCTCAAGCCTCCCAAGTGCTGGGATTACAGGCGTGCGCCACCATGCCTGGCTTAATTCAGTTTTTCTTTTTTATTAGACTGAGGATTTATGTATATATGTCAGAGGCTAGCCACTGAGAGATGATTGTGAGCCTCAAATTTGGCTGTGGATTTTAGTACTAATTAGAAAAAGGAAGGCATTCTAGACAGTTCAGAAGCCCCTGCATGAGCCAGCAATGGAAAGACCCAAGGAGCCCACGAAGCTGAGGCAGGGTGATGGCTTGGGCTACAGAGTGAGTTTAAGGCCAGCCTGAACTACATAGTGAGAACTTGCCTCCAAAAAAAAACCAAGAGAATCAATCGCCAGCATGGTGGCACTTGCTGAAGGCAGTGGGGTAGGAGCTGGAACCCAGCCCAAGCCCCCAGGGTTCCCTCAACTTCCACCTTGTTTCCCTGCTCTGGCGGGGCAAGGCCAGCTAGACAGCCCTCTCAGGAGCAATTGTCAGGGCCGGGAGCCATAGATTTGGCTCGGTGGTGCTGCTGCCTGCCTCTCAAGCGCAAGGTCCTGAGTTCGATCCCTGGTACCACAAAAAACAAACAAACAATTGTCAGGGTCCTAGGGACGGAGGCTGAGTCCTCTCGCTCTCTTGCAGCCTTGCACCCGGGAACATCCAAGTCTTCTTCTCTCCCCTCCTACGGCAGGACCGCTCTGAGCCGGGTAAGGTCTCCACACCAGGGCTCCCGGCCCGGTGGAAGCGGGTGCGTGGGCATCCCCAGGCGCGGAGAGGCCGTCAGAGTGAGGGCGAGGGCGAGGACTGTCCTCAGCTCCCGCTGACCCCTGTGTGCCTTCCTAGCTACAGTCCACAGACTTCAGCCCATCGGAGAGGGAGACGGGGAGCCCAGGTGAGAATCGGGGCCAGTGTTGTGGGGAGCCAGGAGAGGGGCGTCCGCAGGCTCCCCGCGCAGCCGGTGTTGGATGCGGGCAGGGGTCTGTGCGAGGTCCGTGGCTGAGTTGGTGGGTTTTGAAGCTCGCCAACCTTGGCGCTGGCTCTGAACAATGGCTCTTGTCTCCCGCAGGCCTGCAGGTGAGTGTCCCCGGGAGGGGAGCAGACGGAGTGCCAGCAGCCAGGGCCCGGCAGCTGGCAGAGGCAGGGGAAGGGGGGTGTGGGGCCATGGCATTGCCTGGCGAAGACCCGAGGAGCCCAGGGTAAGGCTGGGAAGGTCCCCCTGCCCCACTCTGGCTCACTGCGGCTTTGGTCTCCCCAGAACGGAGAGGGCCAGAGGGGGAGGATGGACCGGGGGAACTCCCTGCCCTGTGTGCTGGAGCAGAAGGTGAGGGCGCCGACCCGACTGTCCAGCGGGGCGGGGTGTGGGTGTGAGCTAGGCAGGCTGAATGTGCTTGGGTCTCCCGGAGATGATGTCGGGGAGCTGGGGGGTGACACGGCATGAGCCCCGGTGGCCTTTACACTTGACCAGGGGCCTGTGGAGTAGAGGGGGTTTCGTGGACAGAGACTCCGAGCCTGAGCTGGTCCTCCCTGTCCCCAGATCTATCCCTACGAAATGCTGGTGGTGACCAACAAGGGCAGAACCAAGCTGCCTCCAGGAGTGGACCGGATGAGGCTTGAGGTGTGCAGGGAGGGGGCCCCGGATGGCTGTGGGGGTTCAGTGGGACCCCCTACCTGCATTCCAGGGACTGCCATCAACTTCCGGCCCCTGTTGTGGGATGCTGTGGGGCTGACCACGGGGCCCTCCCCAGCCTGTGGAGGAAGATCAGGCCTCTGCGTATCCTCATCACTCAGCACAGCCCCCACGTGAGCCTCCGTCCCCTCAGCGGCCTGCGTGTCCCCCCACAGAGGCACCTGTCCGCGGAGGACTTCTCGAGGGTCTTTGCCATGTCTCCTGAAGAGTTCAGCAAGCTGGCCCTGTGGAAGCGGAACGAGCTCAAGAAGAAGGCGTCCCTCTTCTGACTGCTCTGCCCCTCTCCGTGACGGACCCCCTGCTGCTTCAGGGCTCTGGAATGGGGCCCCGGACCCCGCCGCATCCTCTTCCCCTGGCGGGCTGGGCATGGTGGAGGTTGATGGAAGCGGTGGGCTCCGTTCCTCAGGGATAGCGGAGCCGGGGCCTCTGCAGTGCCAGGCTGGGAGGCATGGGCTGTGCCCTGTAACGAGCCAGGGGTCCTTGTTTTGTCCCTGGTCCCCACTGCCCAGCCCAACCCAGCCTGGACTCCACCACACACAGAGTGCTGTGAATGTGCCCACGCCCTGCCTGTCACTCCCATACAAACGTCCCAAAGTGGATGAGGAAAAGAAGGGGAACCAGCGGTCAGTCTGTTACCCTGCTGCCCAGTGGGCAGCATGCAGCTGGGCGGGGTCAGCCCAGAGCCTTGCGCACGCCCACCCAGCTGGGCCTCCCGCTTTTCTGACTGGTGGGAGCAGGCAGGGCCTCCAGCAAGGAGGTCACCCTCCTGCCACCATGCCCTGTCCTCGCTGTGCTGGCCTCAAGCTTGGAAGCTCTCACTGCAGCCTGTGGCTTCCCGGAGGCCTTGGTGTAGTGTGGTGATGCCACCTGTGCCACCACCAGCCTCAGCAGAGCCGCTAGGACTCCGCCTCCTGTCACCTGCCCTGGGGCGGGAAGTCCAGGCCTGGAGCCTCCCTAGAGTGGACCAAGAAGCCAGGCTTGGGACACCCATCCTGGCTCCCAGTGTCGCCATCCACACTCACCCCCACTGCTCTACAGAATGTAACTTACCGGGGCCCCCGCTGCTTTCCTCACCCTCTGCCCTGCCTACTCACACCCCAGCTTTCTTTCTCCCCACATATGTATGTGGATATAATTATATATATATTTTTGCCCAGGTCTGGGTTTTGTTCCTGCTCAGACCCCGGCATTCCTTTTCCACCATGTGTGTGATCGTGCTGGGACGGGGCACTTTGCTTGGAAATTAAAAGGTTGCATTGGGTCCCTCAAATCTGTTTGTCCTTTATGAACCATCAGTCCTGGGGAAGAGGGACAAGTGACATCAGGCCAAGGGCGGCTGTGAGAGGATTCAAGTAAGAGTTGGGGTGGACCTGGGTGTGGTGGCACATGCCCGTGATCTCAGCATTTGGGAGGCTGAGGCAGGAGGATCAGCCCGAGTTCCAAGCCGGCCTGGGCTACACAATGAGATCCTATCACACACACACACACACTAGCAAGAGCATAGGACAGGGGAGAAGGTGGTGATTTGGTCCTGGCAAGGCATCCTGGGGGGAATAAACGTGGGACTGCTGGTTAAGTGTGAGAGGTACAGATTTCCTAGGAGGACCAGAAAGAAGACTAGGGGGAAAGGGACCGGCCTGACCTGGTGGGAACAGATTGGGTGCCTGACAAGGTGTGCAGGGGGGCACCAAGTTAGGAACCTCAGATGAGCTGGCGCCTGACTGGAGCCCCTAGGTGAGTCTGCAGCTACTCTGGTTGAAACAAAGGGAAAGTAGATAAGAATCACTTTTCATCTGATTTTTTTTTTGGAGACAAGACCTTGCTATGTAGCCCAGGCTGTCCTGCCTCACCCTACCAAAGTGCTGGGATTACAGGTGTGTACCACCAGCACTTTCAAATTTGTATATTTATTTAGCCGTACTGGGGATTGAATCTAGGTCCTCTCTAGCTTTGCCAGGCAAGCGCTTTACCACTGAGCTACATTCCCAGACCTTTTCGTATTATTTTGAGACAGGGTCTTGCTAAATTGCCCAGGCCGATGTCTCGCTTAGTCACTAGTTGCCTGCGCTGGGCTCAAACTTGTGATCCTCCAGCCTCAGCCTTCCAGGTTGCTGGGATACAGGCGAGCAGCTCTGTGTTGGCTCAGTGTCCTTACAGCAGGCCAGGGCAGCAAAGAGGTGGGAGGGAGGAACAGGCTGCACATGGGCACATACCAGGTACTGAGCTTTCACTGTGCTGGGCACTGGCAGCATAGCAGGGCCAAGGCCAGCATGGCCCTGTCCACATGGAGTTCCCAGGCTGTTAGGGAAAACGTCAAGGTCACCGGGCCCAAGAGTGCTGCAGGCAGCATGTGATCACAGTTGAGTGGGAAATATTTGCAGTGGGGCAGACTGGACACTGAGTCCTTAAGTATTGTAAGTTCTCAAAAAGTAAGGTCTGGAGCCAGGCTTGGCTGTACACAACTGTAGTTCCAGCACTCAGAAGGCTGAGGCAGGAGAATCACAGAGAATTGGAGGCCAGCCTTGACTACATAGTGAATTTAAAGCCAGCCTGGACTACATATTGAAACCTAGTCTCAAAACAGCAGGGGCTAGGGATATAGCTCGGCGCTGCCACCTGCCTCACAAGCACAGGGTCCCGAGTTTGATCCCCAGTACCACCCTAAAAAAAAAAAGAAAAAAAAAGAAAAAAAAAGAAAAAGATTTTTAAAAGGTTATGAACACCCCACATACTTCCATTATTCCCTGGAGTCATGGGCAGCACAGAGAAGGGAAAGTGCTGATCTGATCCAGCCAGCACATCTCCTGCATCTGGAGGGAAGTGGACCAGCTTGCGCCATGGCTGCCCTGGAACTCAGCTCTCCCTGCTCTCTAGGTCACCTCTCAGATGCTTCCCCATCCCCCAGGCAGGCTGGGATCTCCCCTGGTCTGACACACTTGGCCTAACACTGTCACATTTTCGCAGCTGACCTGTTTGAAAACATGTTTTCCAAACAGCTGCCTGGGAGCTGAGACCCAGGTCCTGCTGGCCTTAGCCAGAACCTGGTTCTGTTTAGGGCCCAGGATGCAGCCCTGGCCTCCCTGGGGCTACTCAGGGTGGTGGTGGGGGACCGTAGGCTCCAACCCTGGGCAGGTTGTGGTCTCATGGGCCTGTCCTCTTGCAGAAGAAGGCCCCAAATGCTGCAAAAGCTGAGACCCTTGGTTCTGGGATTCTGTAAGAGGGCCGCGCCCCTTGCTCTAGGGGGACTCTCCACGCTCTATTCTCTTCTCATACAATACCACTCATTAGCAGAAATACTTTATGGGCATGCCGGGAAATTGAACCCAGGGTCTAACACATGCTAGGCAAGCACTCTGCCAGTGAGCCACATCCCTAGACTTTTTATTTCTTATTTTGAGATAGGTCTCACCTAGTCATGGAGGCTGGTCTCAAACTCACAATTCTCCTGCATCAGCCTCCTGAGTAGCTAGGATTGCAGTGCACATAACCAGAAATACTCTGTGTGTGAGGGAGGGGTCCTGTGGGGTGTGTGTGTGTGTGTGTGTGTGTGTGTGTGGTAGCACTGAGGATTGAACCCTGGGTCTTCACACTAAGCTACATTTTTAGTCCTTTTAAAATTTTTTATTTTGAGACCAAAATCTCACCTAGTCACTAAATTGACCAAGTTGAGCTTGAACTTTCCATCCTCCTCCCTCAGCCTCCCAGAGTGTTGGGATTTCAGGTGTGTACCACACATCTAGCTTAAAAATACATTTTTGGTGGTGGTGGTGGTAGTGGGACTTGAGACACGGTTTCACTGTGTAATTCAGGCTAGTCTTGGACTCAGTGTGTAGCCCAGGCTGGCCTTGAACTTGAAGCGATCCTCCTGCCTCAGCCTCCTGAGTGCTGGTTTTACAGGTATAAGCCACCATGCCCAGCTCAAAAATGTATTAGAAGGAGAGTTCTTGTCGTCAGGAACAATCTCCTTCTGTGGCTGGGGGAGGAGGTGGAGATGGAGCTAGTGTAGAGATCCCTAAGGCCCCACTTTGGATGTTCCAGGAAGCCTGCTTCTGTGTAGTTCCTGGGCATCACTTCCCAGGCCTGCTGCCCACCCAGGAGACCTCCCTCCTTCTTTCTTTGGTGTAGCTGGAAGGGTACAAGGAACCCCTAAAGAAGGCTGTGCAGTAGAAATATAATGGAACTACATGTGTTGTTTAACATTTTCCAGAAGCCACTTAAAAACAGAAATTCAAACCGGGTGTGATGGAGGACTCCAATCCTAGTCTTCTGGAAGCTGAGGCAGGAGGATCACCACAAAGTGGAGGCCATCTTGGGCTACATAGTGAGTTCAAGGCCAGGATGGAACACATAGTGAGACTGTCTCAGAAAACTAAACAAACAAACAAAAAAAAATCAAACAATATACTTTATTTAACTCAATATTCCCAGTCCATTACAGTATGATCAGGGACTAGTTAACCTTTTCTGTCATGTCTTTAAAATCTGGGTTGTCCAAGCCAAGCGTGGAAGGGCACGCCTGTAATCCCAACCCCAAGCCAGTTTGTTTTACATAACAAGTTCAAAGCCAACCTGAACTGCAAAATGAGACCCTCTCTCAAAACAAACGACACACACACACACACACACACACACACACACAACTAAGGGCCAGAGCTATAGTTCACTGTCACTGCGCGTGCCTGCCAAGTTCAAGGTCCTGGGTTCGAAACCCCATACAAAAAAAAAAACCTAACAAATTTAAAAAGTACCAAGCAATAAGTGAAATTAACAATGTACTCTATTTAACCCAATATTCCTAGTCCATTACGGTTGCAACATGCACTGAATACAAAACATGATCAGGGAACTCGTTTTTCTTATGATGCATATAAAATCTGGGGTACCTCGACTTGGCACATCAGGCAGGACCAGGGCTCCCAGTCCTGTGCAGCAGGGGCTGCTGTACAGGTCTGGGCTGGGGGAGAGGGGGCCGAGGCTGGAGCCCACACTCTCAGTTTAGAAGGAATTCTAACTCCACAAGGAGGAAGCCCCCCTGTCCCGCTCCGAGGGACCCCTCTTCAAGGTTTGATCGCTGATGGCCACCTGCTCCTCGGAGCGTCCCGCGGGACAGTGCTTTTCCCAGCTGAGCGTCTGGGTCAGGCCGCTCTCACGCCTTAACCTCTCGCTGCAGCGACGCCCCCAGCCCGGGGCCGGGGCGGGACTCTGGGTTCCCCGCCCACCAC